AATATATCATTATTTCAATTTCGTAATCAACCAGAAATTGATTTTATTAATTTAATAACAAAAACAAATCAAATGAATTCAACAATAAATCCATTACGTTATATTGATAATCAACCAATTGTTAATCAAAGTCTTTTTCTTTCATCCATATTACAATATTTAAAACAAATTGATTTTATTGAAAATCATCGTCATATTATTAGTTTAGTTGTACGAATATTACCACATTGTGGTTCATCATTAAAATCAATAAGTAGTTTAGTTATTGAACAAATATGTCGAAATTTATGTTTTGTTGTTCAAACATATCATCAACAACAACAAGGAAATAAAATTAGATTCAAGTATGAGAAAATTTTTTTTTTTTTTGAAACTTTCAGACAAGAAAAGAAAAATAAGAATTTTTCGTTTACATAAAAATTCTCAATAGTTTCTATTTGTATTTAAAAATCTAATGTATTTAATTGTATTATTACGCAGATAGAACAAACAATGGAAGAATGATTTTATTTTGTGGAACACGATCTAAAATGAGTGTTGAAGTATAGGTATAAAAATTTGGGCTCCCCTCCTTCCCCTTCCCTTCACAGATTCCTTAGCATCCACATCCACACTCTCCGATGCTAATGATGAATATCTGGATGCTTTTATCTTAGTCCAGACTACGATTGTCGAAAATAAACGAGATTGTATGATGATCAGTATCTCTTCAATGACTCTGCTTTGGCTAACGAAGAATCAATAAAAAATTTTACTGGTGCTAGATCTAACTAGTCTATGTCTATGGCGAAAATTTCAGAGTCTTCACTTGTCATAGAGAGAATACAGGTATTAAGATTTTAGAAAATGAAATTTCATAACGCTTATCCATACCTTAACATATCTTCCATTTCGTAGTTAAGTAACTGTACTTTTTCTTTTGAAATCAGTCTTCAGTGAATCCCCTTTCCGGAGATTCTCTGGAACGGCTCAACAAAAAATGATGAATCTCTCAAAACAAATAGATCTCGATCAGTAGAACAAAAGTTGTCATAGATTCAAAACTCTTAGATGTTTTCTTCAGAGAGATATGACCATCACAAAGGCCAAAAAATAGTCAGAAGTTGTTTTCCTCCTTGCAAAACTCTATCCTTCATTTTTCGAGCTGCAAATTTTTTTTCATGACAACTAAGATCAAATCAGAGTACGTGCTTTGTTTCTTTCAAAAAGATCGTTCCTAGAGCTCAGGAGAAGCAAAATACTGGAAGTGCCGTCAAAAAACATTTTTATTTCAGTGGTACTAATTTTTTCAAGACTGCCAAATATTGTAGAAGCAACATTTTGAAAAACTCGGTTTCAACAAAAATTTTTTTTTTGTATTTATCAAGACTTTTTTTCCAACTAAAGTGATCGAAAAGTGGCAGTGTGATAGATCCATGACTATGCTTTAAGTAGCATTGGAATGAAAAATATTTTGTATAGAAAAGAACAATCGTAGCATAAGCTTTTCTGCTAGAAATTTTCGAAAGTCGGATTTAATAAAAGTACTAAATAACAAAGAAAATCGGTCATTTATATGGCATTTTTACGAAAAACACTTCGAGGCTGTATTAACAATGAAAAACCAAAAATCGAAAAAATTTCGATTTTCATGCTAGAAATCAGGAGTACCCTTTATTTAGATAAATTTTTTAATTAATCCAAAAGCCAAATAAAAAAAATTCAATAATAAATATTTTCTACTTATAGACAATTACCTTATTTTGATGTCTCTGAATATATTATTCATTTAATTCAACGTCTCTCCTATATATGTAATCATTGTCTTCATGGTAATGCTGTTGATAATGGACAATTTTCAAATCAAACACTTAGTCCACCACATTGGATGAAAATGGTAAAAATTCTGGTTTTTTTTTTGTTATATTTTAATTTAAAAACTTTATTCTTATTTTTAGTTAACAATTAATGAACGTGATTTATCTGATGCACGTCAATCCATACTTAATCAACTTCCATCAATACTTTCAAGTATTATATTTATATGGAAAACAATATCTGAACAATATATATTTGATAATACAAATGATCAAATTATATCAAACATTGGAGTAATTCATCAATCAACAAATCTTATTTGGCCATTACATAGTGTTAAACAAATTCGTCAAACAATTCTTGATTATCTTTCATCATTAACTAAATCAAATGGTGTTTCATTTCTTAGTGCTGTTGCACAATGTTGGGGTGAACGTAAACGACAACAACGAACTCAACAAAAATCTAGTACACAATCAACATTAGATACATCATCACGAACAACAATATTAACAATGCCTAGAGATAATATTGGTGAAGCACAAGCTTTAATTGATATTGTTATGAATATTAATGGATATACATTAAATGATATGATACCAAATATGAATGAACTTATACGTAATCAATTAACAACAAGAGATAAGGTAAATATTGAAGAAAAAGTAAAGAAAAGAAAAAGAAGTCTTTTATTTGGATTAGTTTTTACAGTTATCGGCACTTTATAATATGAAAGTTGTACAGAAAAAAATGGTATACTATTTTTTTCATTTTATCTCATCATCTTATCGGTTTTATAAATGATTATACATATATACATATATATATATATATATTTATATAGCTTTAACTAATCATTATTATTTTTTTCTTGTGTGTTTTTTTAATATTAAATAATTATATTTTTAAATAATTTATTTTAGAAAAAACAAAATTATGATGTATGGTGTCTTCAATTTCTGTTAGCATATCTTCAACATCAAAAAAATTTATCTGTTGATTGTTGGCCAACATTAGCATTTATGTTTAAAGAATGTTTATCACAATCGATATCACCACCAGCTACATTTTTAATAATACGGTATTAATAAAAAAAAAAAATAATAATTTTTCATTGTCAAATATTTTATTGTTTTTATTATAGAATTTTAAGTTTTTATATAAAACAATCACCATCACTTGTTGAAAGAAAAGATTTAAAAGATTTACAAGTATATATTTGATTATGAATTGGAAAAAAAATTCAAAATAATTGTTTTGTATTTTGTAAATAGGATATAACAATGAGAGTACTTGACAATTGTAATACAATAGTTGCTTCATCACTTGAACAAACAACATGGTTAAGAAAAAATCTACAAGTACGCGTTGCACAACCTGATATTCAATCAGCTAAAAGTGGTTCAACTGGTAATCAAACAACATCGACAGGGACCAGTTCATCGCATGAAACTGAGAATATTCCTGTTGATGATACTACTGATTTTGATAGTGAGTAAAATTGATAAAAAAAAAAGCACGAAAAGAATAACGAATAAAATCTTTATTTTCTTTTTGTAAAACAATATTTAGCACGTAATCCATTGTTGTCAGTAGTTAATATGTTCGACAAATTTTCAGCTAAAATTGTACCGCAAACTGTTTTCCATATAGCCTTACGAGGTATTTGCTAAGAGCTAATCTAATTTAACTAATCTCATCATCTTTTGGAAAACAAATACACTCTTTTAATAATGCAAAAAGTATAGGTTTTCTGACGAGGAAACTACACGAATTGATACCTGCCGTTTGAGCTCAAAGTTGGTTCACCAAGAGGTCTCAGTAAGACTAGAAAAATCCTAAAAGGATTCATACCCATAAGCTTCTGAAGCCGAGTTATAACCGTTCTACTGAATTTTCAATTCACCTTTAGGTATTTACCGAAAAAGCAAAACACCAGAATTTCGACCCGAAATTCTGCCCATAGATAAGTCTGATAGTTTTGGGAATATCCTGGAAGTTTCAGTCGAAAAGAATGTTTGTTTGTCGAGATATTACAATTCGAAAAAATGGTTGTTTGTTATAGATGGGTGAATATGGGTGTGCATGCGTGGACATCGGGATTTGTGAAGAGAAGATCCACACCCACATCTCGAACCTACACTCACGCCCACTCATCTATGGCAAATGACCATTTTTTCGAAATATAATATCTCGACAAACGAACATTCTTTTCGACTGAAACTTTCAGGATATTTCCAAAGTCACCAGACCTATCATCTATGGGCAGAATTTCAGGTCGAAATTTTGTTATTTGATTTTTCGGTAAATACCTAAATCTAGATCGAAAATCAGTAAAACGGTCATAACTCGGCTTTAGAAAATCATGAGCACGAACTCTTTCAGAGCTTTTCTTGTCTTACCAAGACTTTGCTATGAATCTAATATGAACTCAAACAACGAATATTAGTTCAGATAATTATCTCGTAAGATAACAAATTCGGTTTGATGTAATGATTTTCCATTGGTAATCGTTTAAATAAATAACATGCTTTTGTTTTTTGAAAAAGAGGATTCATATTCGTATGAAACTGCCCTTGAACGTTAGCGACTGAAAATTCAAAAATTTATTTTTTCGGGAAGATGTTAGATAGTCATTGTATTTGGAAGAATCCTAATGTTTTTATAAGTTAAAAACGACATCATACGATCATTATTGTATTATTGAAGTTTCATGTATGAAAATCATATTTTATTCTTGAATTTTATTAAAAGAAAATTAATTAGACTTATGTCGAGAAAGGAATAAAGACGTCACATGTAGATTTGAGTCCTACAGGATTATAGATCTCATTGTATAAAGTTTTGCTAAATATTTTTCATTTTATTATCTCTGTATAACCAAAACAAAAATTGATCTCTTGAAATTTCTTCCAAGTACAAAAACAAAAAACGAATTTATTCTCTATAAATTTTTATTAATCAAGGATGAAATGAGAAGAGCAAATATTACTAATGATTTGTGATCAATAATCCTTTTAACATATTCATAATTTTTTTTTTTCATATAAAATTCATTCTTCTTTTTTTTTAAACTTAGGTGTAACACATGCAAATAATATAGGAGATCTTATAAACAATGGAAATTTTAGTTATCTAGCATTATCAGTTCTTGCTGAACATGCTGCAACATTACTTGATATAGTTTATAATCGAACAGATGAAAAAGATCGTGTTGTATTACCATTTTTACAAAATCTTGTTACAAATGTTATGCCATATGTACGTACACATGTAGCAGCAAATGCTCCATCATATCGTTCAGCATCAGCTTTACTTATGAATATATCACAATATTCTTATACACGAAAAGCATGGAAAAAAGAAGCATTTGAACAATTATTTGATGTTGCATTTTTTCAACTTGATATTATTGCATTACGTTCATGGAAAACAATTGTTGATAATATGATAACAAATGAACGACCAACATCATTTCGTGATGTTATGACAAAAATTAATACTGTACAAACTGGTTTATTTGTATCAAAAGAACATGAATATGAACAACGTGCTATGCTTGTTAAACGTTTTGCTTTTGTTATATATGCATCAGAAAAAGATCAATATAATCGACAATTACCGGAAATACTTGAACGTATTGCTGATTTACTTAAATTACCACAAGTACCAATATTACATACACAAATGTTTCTATTTCTACGTGTTCTTTTATTGAGAATATCAACTAAAAATTTAATCTCATTATGGCCAATACTTATGACAGAACTTATACAAGTTTTATTACAACTTGAACAAGATCTTTTATCGGATCTAGATGGAGAAGTCAAGTATGAGAAATTTTTTTTAGAAATTATCATAAATTATACATTTAATTAACCTTTGTTTCTTCTTTCTATAGATCTCAGGTACAACGCATGGTAACCAATGAGTTAGCTACAACAAATGTATCAAGTACTTCAAATACTTCTAATCCTGCACTAAAGATGTATTTATATGCATGTAAATTACTCGATGTATTATTAGCTATGCCCTATTCAGAATTATATCATTTTCAACTGTAAGTTAATTTTGAAATTTTTATCGTTTCTTTTCGTAGAACTCATATACATTTTTGAAGAAAATAGTAGGTGTAAGTTTGAATCGAGGGCGGCTTCACCCCAGGACTTAGCAACCAAAGAGTAGAGCCCATTAGATCCAAAATTTTCGAACTCAGACTCTGGATCAAATCGACGAGTTCTAGTCAGACTCTTTTCGCAGAGTTTCTTAGCAACGGAAAAGGCGTTCAACGGCATTAACAATAGGACTTCGAGTGTTCTAGAACATTCCAAAATCTTCTTCGAAATTTAAGTGGCGACAATATATTTGTGAATGTTCTAAATAGTGCAGTTTTTGATTTTTGCATATTCAATATGTGAAGAATGATGCATAGTGATGTATTGATTTATTACAGTCGTCATATGATCAACATAAAAAGTATGAACTATAATTAAGTTATAACTTTGAGAAATAATCAATATTAGTGTTTGTGAGTTTATCGAGATAAATCATAGACTTGCTGTAGATATGATGGATATGTATGACAGACTTATTTACCATTTAAATCAATGATTAGAATAATAAAAATATAAAATTAAGAAAAACAGAATACGAAAAAGAAAAATAACGAGCGAATAGCAACAAGGTAAACAAAACATAAAGTGTCAGAAAACAACAGCGAAAAAATTTCTGTTCGAAATACAGAAATAAATAAGACAGATGTTGTCCTTGACGATCGATTATTCTTGGAAAATAACAATAATCTACTGGAGATGTTTCATTTAACATATCTTATATTAGTATAATGAGGCTAAAGGAGACATGTGAATTCCAGATCTTAGTCTCATTGAGACTGCACTGACGAGCTGTTTGTTTTCATTTGATTGTTTTATTATTTTTTTCTATCTAGTTTTCGTTCTGCGTTTGTTACTGATGAATATATAAATGATAGAAAATCTCCTGTTGATACATTTATTGCATTTTCAATACGTTTATCAAAATTACTTGAAAGAAAATTACAATTAATGTCAACATCAATACATGAACGCCTTCCAATAATAAAAAATACGAATCGTCCATTACTTCGTTTACGTACAATAACAAATATAATTGAATTATATCCATTTTTTCATTGTTTAACACAAATGCATACATATGATCATCATCATTATCAACATTCATTACCAACACATACAAATATATCAAATAAACAAATATCAATACCTAAAAAAAAAGAAACATCAAAAAAGAAAAATAAATCTTTAACACATATATCATCATATAGAAAATCTGAATCAACAACAATGAATTCAATTAATGAAGAAACAATGAGTGAAATTGAAACAAGTGTACTTGAAGATTTTGTTGAATCATGGATATAAATTCTCATTAGTTTAGTTATTCTTATTTTATTTTGTTGACTTAAACATAACAATTTGCCAATATATATTTATATATACATATATATATTTTATTTTCTTCTTTCCTTTCCGTTAAATCATTGAACAGTTTGATAGTTTACATCTCTTCTGTTTTCTTCTTTTTTTTTTTGTTGTTGTTGTCAATTCTTCAATGTTTAAAACGATCTCTTTTTTTCCTTTTCTGTTATCATTCAAAGAAAAAAAAACTTTTATTGATGCTACGTGCGCTTGTTTATTGCAAATAAAAAAAAAACATACCCTTCTTATTTCAGATAATGGATCCGAAAGGAATTTTATCGATATGTCTTGGTGTATTACTTCTTTGGATACTTGTTGCATTAAATCTATTTCCGATTAATTTACCAACATTTTTATATCGAATAGTTCTTATTATTCCATTTATTGGAATTATTTTATTTGGATTTTATTCATTAATATATTTAATATATAAAGTTCTTAATCTTAAAGATTGTCCTCAAGCACAAATTGAATTGCAACGTGAAATTGAACGCATTAAGCATGATTCTCGTTATCAATCTTTATTTCGTGCAACAACAACAAATATTCGATAAGAAGAATTCATACTGATGTATGTTCGCATGAGACTTTAGCTTAACTGTTATATCAGCCATGTTTTTTTTCTTTTCTTCCCAATAAAAAACAAACAACAACACACAATGACGAAGCACATTTTTTCGATGACTATCTTATTTAAACTGAATAAGTGAGCAAGCAGTGACGGCATGTACTTGATGTCATAATAGCTACGTAGAATAAATGAAAAAATGCGACAATGCTTAGAAAAAATTTTTTTTTTTTCAATATAAAATTCGAGACAGTTCGATGATTTTCTTATCATGTATGAAACTAAATACCATCTAAAAACGACTAAACATTTGTTACATGTTGTCTCTTCTCTACGAATGTCTTTTGTCATTCATAGTAGATTACAATGACAAAAACAGAATGTTTATTTCTTTTCCTTTTAACGCAAATTTCTTTTTTTTTATAATAAAAATAGTTATCATGGTTAATGGCGGTAAGCGCTTCTGTGTATGATGATTTTTTTTTCCTTTTCAGATAACAGAAAGATAAAAATATTTTTAATTTATCATTGTATGTTACGCGCTCTTCGTGTCATTAAAATCAAAGTCCAATTTGTGCCCGCACCTAGTTTTTCTACAATGCAATCAACATTTGAAAATACCCAAAGACCTTCATCAGCAAGACCTTCATCTAGTACAACGAAATCTTATGCTCCACAAAATCTTCCTGTCTATGATTATGATCTTGTTGTAGTTGGGGGTGGCTCAGGAGGTAAGAAAACACAAAAAAAAAGAATATTAAAATCAGATTTATAATATTTGTTATTTAATATTATATTTAGGTTTGGCAGCAGCAAAAGAAGCAGCAAAATTAAATAAAAATGCTAAAGTAATTGTTTTTTTGTTCATAAGAAAATGATTTAAGTTTTTATAATTAATATTATATTGATTTCAAGGTAGCTTGCTTCGACTTTGTTGCTCCAACATATCATGGAACAAAATGGGGTCTTGGCGGTAAATAATAACTTCTAATAATTTTTCGTATTTTTTGAATTCCCTGTTTTTTTCTCTAGGTACATGTGTTAATGTCGGTGTAAGTATAATATAGGTTTATCTATTGATTAGATACCGAAGTGAGGCAAATCGATTGTAACATTGGATATATTTCAACACAGATAAATTCTATAACATTGAATTTTTTTAAAAGATGCACCAAGAAATTCTCTATAAGAATGGCAATAAAAAATCCTATTGACTTGTTTTAAATATTTTCTTATAAGATTACAAATGAAGCATTATATGATGTAGAGATAGGATCGGTTCAATTTGCAGTATCCCAAATCAACTTTGGTTTTAGTTCGGTTTAAATTTTGAAAAATCTGAACCGATCTCATCTCTGGTGTGATAGTCAAATGTCTCATTATATTGATAGAAATAAAAATAAAGATAACATTGATTATTTTGGACATATTTCACTACTAACAAATCAAAAAATCTTAAATCATTTTTTTTTATATGTGTCATAGAGTGCACAACATACTTTTGCATGATAGGGTCCTTTCAGTTAGACTAATGAGTTTTTTTTTAATGACAAAAAGATATAGATCATTGTGATATCATTTTTGTTCATTACAATAATGAGGGAAAAGCTTGAGAAATTCCAAGTATCATGTCTAAAGATCGTTAATCTTCTAGTCTACTGTACCTAAATTCATTAGATTATTCTATATGAAGTCGTGTCAAAAAGAATATTTTTTATCAAAAGGTCAAAATAAGAGAAGATTCGAAGAAATAAATAAATAATGTATGTCAAAAAGAAAATTCATTTAAATTATGTTCGCAAACTTATCATCTCTTTTCTTCAAATAGCTCGTGCAATTGAACAACATAATAGCGATAATATTTTCTATTAACATCTATAATTTCTATATTATTTCACTTGAGTTTTTTTGATAAAGTATATCATGCAAGAAATTATTTGAAGTAAAAAGAAAACTTCCTTTTTAGTGTTATTTTCATTTTTGTTTCTTTTAAAATAATGGGACATTTGACCATCATAGAGAGTGCTTCAATTTTAGCCTTAATAAGAAAATATTAAAAAGAAGTTGATGGAATTTTTTATTGACATTCTTATAGAGAATTTCATGGCACATCTTTTTAAAACAAAATTTAATGTTATAAAATTTGTCTGTGTTGAGATGAATTCAATGTTGCCATCATTTTGTCTTACCCAGTTTAATTAATTTTTTTTTAAAGTGTATTCCAAAAAAATTAATGCATTATGCTGGTGTAGTTGGTAATATAATTCATCGTGATGCAGCTGAATTTGGTTGGAAAAATGTTAAAAATGATAATCATGATTGGGCAACAATGCAAACAATGATTGGAAATTATATAAAATCATTGAATTTTTCATATAAAGTTCAACTTCGTTCAGCTAATGTTACATATTTAGAAGGTTTAGCACAATTTCTTGATGAACATACTATTGAATGGAAGGTAAATAACAATAATAATCGAAAAAAAAACCGTTTCTAAATTGATCTCTCTTTTGCTTTATTAGAGTTTAACAAAAAGTGGTCGTTTAACATTTAATAAAGCAATTATTGCAACCGGTGGTCGTCCAACATATGGTGATTTCCCTGGTCGAGAATTATGTATTAGTTCTGATGATATTTTTTGGTTAAAAAAAAGTCCCGGTAAAACTCTTATTATTGGCGCTGCTTATATTGCACTTGAATGCGCATCTTTTCTTCATCATCTTGGAAATGATGTTACTGTTATGATACGTTCAAGACCATTACGTACAATGGATCATCAATGTGGTGAAATGGTATGTGAATTAATGGAACGTGATGGAGTAAAATTTATAATGCCAGCTAATCCACGTTCATTTTCTGCTGTGGAAAAACCGAATAAATTAGAAAATGCTAAAGAATGTCGACCCGGTGTTTGGGAACATGGAAAAGATGCTAAAGGAAATGATCAATATTTACATGAATCAGGAGCGATTGAAGTTCATCATACTGACGGAAAAATAACATGGATTCATCCAAAAGGAGAAATTGAAGCTAAATATGAATATGCTGATCAACGAAAAGGAAAAATACATTCCGAATGTTTTGATACAGGTATATATTTGTGAATTCGAGCAAATAGTAGATAATCAGAAAGTTTTTAGACAAGATGTTTGTTCACTTTTTAACCATTAGAAAGCATTTTCGATGAATCAAAAGTTATGAGTTAGGATGTTCTTTTCGAATATGAGCTTAGAAATTTTGCTCGAAAGTAGTACAATAATCTTTGAAAAGCAAAAAAAATTCGTTTACGTGGAAAATTTTTGTATTTTCATTATTGCCATTCGAAACTAAAAATTGGGAATCTTTATTTATATATCAATTTGTAGATCAGAAGCTACCCTCCAAAATGCACTATTTAAAGTTTTCTTTTTGTTTTTCAACAAAGTATCTTAACTTTAGTTGTTTTTAAATACTCATTTTTAAACATTCGACAACCATTTTATGTTGAAAGAAGAAAATGCTTGTTGCATCACTCGGATAAAAGCTACCGGTTAATTCAATATCATATTTTGTAGAAAAGTGTCCCTTTACAAAACGATCAACTCCTATCATTCTTAGCATGTTCGAAATAAGACTTATAGGGTAAACAAAAATCAATTAGCTAACCATTAAAAATAATTTTTCAGATCTTTGAAAAAGTCTCTCACTACTCTTGAACAAAACTAAACATAACATTTCTAAGCACAAAATTCTGGTCATAACCTACAATCTTTGGCTTGTCTGAAATGCTTTCAAGCAGGCAAAAATGAACAAACATGTTCACTGCAAGCATCGGCCTATAAATTCCATCCAAACTAATTTTTTAGACTTTATAAAGATTATTTCACTATTCTCGAACGAAATTTGTAAGTCTGAGCGCAAATTTATAGTTTTCAACCCGTGGGAAATACTTTCGAATGATTCAAAAGTGAATAAACATCTTGTAGAAAAACTTTCCGATCACTGGTTAATACACTATATTTTTATTATTTTAGTTTTATTGGCTATTGGTAGAACAGCGAATATTGCTGGTCTTGGTCTTGAGAAAATTGGTGTACATGTTGTTAATGGAAAAGTTCTTGTCGATGAACGAGAACAAACTAGTTTACCACATATGTATGCATTGGGTGACGTAGCAACCGGTAAAGAAAAAAAAAATACCGAAAAATTCTGTTTTTAAAAAATGCCTTCTCTTGTTATTCTAACGGAAACTTAATAGAATCTGACTATAATAACATCATGTCATCTTTAGATCAATAATAATAATTCTAATTAATTTTATTTGTCATGTCAAAATGAAAGCTGGATTAGTTGATTTCTTTCAAAAGAATCATAATAAGAAGAACATTTGTATAAAAAAGAAAGAAATTCTATAAGATTTCTCTTTCAAACAACAACAACTAATTATACATAATAAAGCTTTCCTGCATAATAAACACAATACTGTTTGAGTATATTTCGAAAAAAAAAAACTATTCGAAATTTTTTAATCTTAATGATTAATCTAGTTTGTGAAAATCACTTTCTATTGTTCTTTACAAGCGATTTTATAAGATCCTTTTCTTTTTTTGTTTTGAATGTTAATTAAAAATTTCTTAGGTGTTATTCAACATGGCAAAGATTTATCACATCAAGCTCAAGTCACTGTTGAACGACCTGAATTAACACCTGTTGCTATTCAAGCTGGACAATATTTAGCACGACGTATATGTAATGTATCAAATCAATTAATGAATTATCGAAATATACCATCAACTGTATTTACAAGTCCATCTGAATATAGTTTTGTTGGTCTTCATGAAGAACAAGCAATGCGATCACGTGAAGGTTAATACATCATGAAAAAAAAAAGAAACTTTATTATTTTTTTTCTTAAAAATTTGTTGATTTTTGTGAATTTTTTTGTTTAGATGGAGGTATTGGTGCAGAAAATGTGCGTATTTATTGGTCACGGTTTGGTAATATTGAAATATCTCCAATACATCCACATTTAATAAAAACACGTAGTGAATGTTTCACAGGAAAAAATTCTTGGACACAACAATATGTATTAAAAAATAATGTTGATTGGTCTGAAGTAACATATGATTTAGAAAATACAAATTATGTTTTATTTAATGATGATATTGGTGGTCAAAAACGTACAGCTGCACGTATAATAAAAAAATATCATAATGAACAAGCAAATAATAAAATAAGCTATGATATTGAAATTCAAAATGAAGAAAAAACAATTGTAAAAGGTGTTACTGGTGAACAATTACAATTACAAGATGAACAAGAATTAGAAAAAGCTGAAGTATTTTATAAAGCAAATTGTTTAGCTAAATTAATATGTGATAAAAGTGAAAATGATCGTATAGTTGGACTTCATTTTCTAGGACCAAATGCTGGTGAAGTTGTACAAGGTTTTGCATTAGCTATTATGATGGGTGCAACAAAACAACAATTTGACGATCTTGTTGGTATTCATCCAACAGCAGCTGAAGAATTTACTGTACTAAGTGTAACCAAAGAATCTGGAACGACATTATTAAAAGCAGCTGGCTGTGGTGGAGGCTCATGTGGTTAATTATGTTTTCTTTTACATATCCATAACAATTATAAACTGAATATAATGTATCGTTTTCTCATTAATCAATGATTCAAATTACATCTGTAGTTAAACACAAACAAAATCATATATATGTATATCAAGAAATAAAAGGATTCATAAAAAATGAATAGATATATTTGTTGTTTTTTCATTTCATAAGAAGTTCGATATAGCCAACAAAAAAAAACAATGAAAGGATGAGAGTCATTTTGAAAAGAAGATTAATGATAGAATTACTATGTGTATGATAATGATATTTATTTAATATCATGTTCTTTCGCAGATAGTTGTTGAAGTATGAACTAAAAATAAATTAATTCCAATTTTAATTGATAAAAGGATGTTGTTTCTTGTTCATCATTTATCTCAATAACTTTATGAACGATAAAATCTAAATGAATATTTGAAGTTCTTTTTCCATTAATTGCTCATTCTGTTATAAATTGATGTATTTCTTTTATATAATGGCATAATTTAACAAGTGTTTCTCAACAAGTTACAATGTTTCCTTCAATTTTCTCATGCCCGTGGCATATGATATTAATAAATCGTGATAAAAAAAAAGGTGTCGATATACAGAGTGTTTCATAAGTTCCGAACTTCGATAGAAATTAATTCATATGTGAACAAACAATGATCTCTAACTAAATGTTTATATAGTGTTTGAGTACTCGTGTTGACATTTCAAATAATATAATATTGGATTAAATCTTCTATAGTAACAATAATAGAATACAAATGTAAGAATATAGTGTTTTATTTATCAAAATTGATCAACAAGATTTTTTTTAATTAAAAGTAATGAACTCACTTGAAATAAAAAGTATAGTAGGAACCAATAAGTAGTTGCCGTGAATAGTTATTTGAGTCCTGTCATAAACTACTGATCAAATGATCAGTTAGACTTTATCTTGAACAAATAGTTCGAAATGAATTGAAGTACATGAACACACATTTTCTAGATTGAAAAATTTGCATTTTGCCAATAGTTCATATTTTTTCTTTATTTGAAATTGCTTATTCTGTATATACAAATTGTCTAATCACTGAAACAATGACTTATGAATAAACAACTATCAAATTTAAACTCTAGAAAACATTGAAGAAAAAAATACAAGGAAGGCAATTTTCAAGTTTCGTATATATATTTAAAACGTAGATTGTACAGAGAATAAAGAAAAATAACTTTTGCAATGAACGTGAAAGAATGATAGATAAACTTTTTAAAGCGCTTAGCAAAATAATGATATGAAATAGAGTATAAATACATGGTAATTAACTGACATTTTTTATGTAATCAACTGTAGTATTTTCCTTGTTCTTCATTTAAGAAGATCTTGTTGATTAATTTCGACAAATAGAAAAAAAAAATGTACTTTTTAATCTATATTATTATTCTTGTAAGAGAAGATGTCAACTAATACCATGTCATTTGAAACGTTAACACCATCGCCCAAGCTTCATATAAACATATTCAACGAACAATCTTTCCATGTCTGCACATAAATTAATCTCTGTCGAGAATCAGAACTTATGAAACATCCTATATTTACAATATCATTGGAAAAAATACGGCTTTTGAGTGGTTTATATATGTGACTATTTTTTTTTTCATGCGAATGATTTCATCAGCAATCAAGTGATGAACATTCATATCGTGTGGATTCTATAATATATAATATTCATATAATATTTTGTTTTGGTAAATTATGTACGGAAACGCGCAAAGTCAACGTTGTTAAGTTGATTAATCCTGTAACAGAAATTGAATTAGAAAGAAAAACGATACGTCTCTCAAGGTCAAAAATTGTTTTATATTTTTTCTTTAATTGTTCATTCTATCGTTCTATTCTCTGCGGCCGTTGATCACAATTATGATTTCTCACAGAATTACTAGTCAAAGAAAGGTCATAACATTAAACTATCCGGTCAAACGTAAATAAAGTCCCTCACTCAATTAACTAGTAGGCTTTTTTTCTCTATTCAAAAAAAAATATTTTAGTTATTTATTAATCAATATGTGCATACAAATTAGGAATGTGTATAGTCTTCCAATGTTATTTTTGTTTATTGTTCTAAACATTGGCAACATGATCATTATTTGCCACAGCACCACCAATAGGATTAACAATAACTCCACCATTTGTATATTCACTTGTTCGACTTAATCTTCTCATAATAAGACGTATAAGTGAAACATTTTGTTGCTGCATATTATCATATAATGACTGTCGTCTATAATGATAACTTTGATATCTTTCATGTGGTAATAACCATAATAAAACTAGACCCTTTAATTCATCTCGAAATAATTTCGATGAAAATGAGTAAAGAAAAAAATTTGCCATATAATTAATGTTTCTTATTGTAAATGTTATTGTACGCCATGTTAATTTATTTTTTAACCATGAACAATCACCGGTTTGATCAAGAACTTCATAATATATCCACCAACATTGAAATGGTAATGTACAAAATAAATGAACAAGACAAACAAGTATTAATGTTACTGTTATTGATGATCGTAATTCAACAATACCACGTTGACATAAACGATAAATAACTGTCGAATTTAATAATAATATAAATACAAACGGAACAAAATAATTTATTATAACTGATACCATTCCCATTGAATCATATAGAATATCATCATAAACATCACATTTAAAATAAATTTTCAATGTATGATTTTCTGGAGTAATTTGCCGTGATGACCAAAAAATAAAATTTTCTGAAATATTTCTAAAAAGAAAAATAATATTAAAATATTAAAAAAACAAAAAAAATAAGAACATTTGTAAGCTAATATAAATATACAAACTTAAAAGAATTCTTTAATAATGATGTAGTGGTCTGTGGTAAAATTACAGGTCGAGTTTTTAAAACCATTTTAACAACAAATATAAACCATGTTGATATTATTGTTGCTGTAATAACAATTCCGAGAACAAAAAAAAATATTTTTCGATGAGTAAATAAAATTTTATGACGATGAGGCAACCAAACAGCACAAAAACGTTCAAATGCAATACAAATCATTAGCCAACTTGAACAACATGTAAAAGTTAAATCAAAAAAACCTATAAATAAAAAATAAAATCATACGATAAAATCATTATATCAAGAAAAAGAAATAAATTACCATGTGTACGACACCAAAATGGTGATGCATCAGTAAATTCTCGTTTTAATAAATGTTCAAGCCATAAAACTGAAACAGGTATAAGAAGTACTAATGAATCAACAATAGCTAAAGCAATAGTTAATATTGATACAGATTGTCTTTTAAGATCAGTTATAATAAATACACACATTGTAAGAATATTTCCAAGTAATCCAACACAAAATATAATTGGTGTTAGACGAATAAATAATTTTTGTGTTGTTGTACCATCAAGTAATTCAAATTCATTTAATAAACAAGGAGCTGTCATTGTATTTTTTTTAATTCTATAAACATCAACTATAGTTTAGATCGGTGACAAATCGTAAAAGCATCATTAGTCATAGAAGAAGAGTAACATATAATAACGCAAAACCTAACGCATTATATGTCAACGAAAGAAAGAAATGTCAGTGAGTCGAGGAAATGTTTGCATACACATGATTTCCTTCTCTCTCTCTCTTTCTCTCTTTCTTCGTCGATTAATTCAAAAATAATGACCGACATTCTTATATACAATCCAACGATGAGCTCACCAGAAACATACTAGCAAAATAGAACTAGACAAAACTACAGATTGAGACAATATGTCTACTTTGATTTTCTTTTGACTGGCAGATGTGTTAATTGAAGCAAGTAACAAAAAAAAAGAACTAATGAAAAGAATGATATAGTAGAATAAAGGGAGACATTTACGGTAATCATGAAAAATAGAATTGAATTTAAATTATATGAAAAAAAGAAAGAAAATGAGTGTTTTTTATTATTATTATTATTCTGCATATATGCTTCTAGAAAAATAGGTGACATTGATGGAAACAGTTCTCTGTTTTTAGTAATAAGAAATGGTTATTTGAGAAATTCTTTCATTATTGTCTTTTTCGTCTTCATAATGAAAAACAAAAACATAGCAACAAAAACACAGCAACAAAAGAAATATATTAGACTTGTTTTGATTACCTCTATTTACTGAATGAGAACTAGATCGATATGAATATATATTCATTCCTATTAATTTAGGATAAAAGAATTCACTGTCAATTCAAGTGTGTTCTGCAACACAGATGTATCAAGTATCGAGACAAGACGAAAGACAACAAATGACAAATCATGGTGGTTGTCTATGACAGAAAAATAACACCAAATACATAGATAATCGACCTAATAACGATGAACTTTATTCAACAATCAGAAGACAGTGTCGCGCCATAATGATAAACTCAAATCGTTGTTATTCTCTATGTCTGGTTATTAATGGAGACATAAAAAATAGAAAAATACAACGACTAGATATACTTCTCTTTTCATCATAATGCCGCTGTCATTATCATCAGCAGCAGTTCTAATGGGAAATGTTTCTCGTTCTCTATGTTTTTGCTGATTGAATTTGTTTCTTTTTTGTCTCTCTTCGTTCTACATCATATTCTCTTTTTCTCCAACGATGTTTTTTTTTGTCCTTTGTCATAGAATATAGACAAGAAAAAAAAAACGGAGAAAAAAAACCTTTGAATTGTTCGGAAAATCGATACAAACCTGACGTAAGTCTCACATAAAAGAGTACTTACGATGGAAGAAGTGGATAGATAATCACTAATAATTAATACTCTCAAACTTAGTTGACAATCATGGTCTCATATTGTTTTGCTTACATGCATACATATGCGATAATCGATCTAATTATAATGGATTATAGAAAAACAACTGACAATATGTACTTAGCTTCCTGGTGTTTTTAGCAAAATTGTCACGTATAAATCACAAATAAACAAGAGAAAAAATAGAAATCGAGCATCTGACTCCATCAATGTAACTTGTTTTTTTATTAGGGATCTTCATGTTGACAAGAAGACAAAAATAAATACAGTATATTTATATAAGTATATAACTTTCTATTATAAAAACACGCATATGCTATTTTTTTCATATGTTTCACCAATATTTTCTTTTAAGTATAAATTGTATATACTACTAGTATTGTACATTTTTAATTATCCATTAATTTTAAGTCTAAACATGTTAAAATCGACTCTAATCAGATCAATTATACCAAAGGCAACAATATAAAGAATAATCGTAGTACTTTTCTTTTCTTTTCTTTTCTTTTCTTTTCCTTTTTTGTGTCCTAGAATACTAAACAATGTCTTTTTTTACAATAATAAGAACAATACACATTATCGTAGATCGATGACATTCGCTCTCTTGAAGAAATTACATGTATATGCTTTAGTCTTATAAGCATTTGTTTTTTTCTTTCAGTTAAAGTAAATATATGAACAAAAAAAAAATGTTTCTAAAAAAAACTCTTCATCAGGTTTTGCTTTTTCTTTCATTTGATATATCAAGTGTATTCATTAAACATATTCTATTTAATGAGAAACTAGACCTTCTGAGTGACTTTTATGACATATAACGAGTAAATAATATGTAGGTAGCATCCATGGAATAGATGCTGAGCCACAAGGTAACGACCATGACATAAGCATAAGCAAATAACCTAAATAAAACAAAAGAACAGTTCAATCTTGTTATGTTTATAAAACGTACTAAGATAATATGGATGTCGATATAGACAACAATGATTAGACGTTAAAAAAATAAATTCATCATTGAATATCATTGATTTGACATTCTTTTTACATAGTTTTTTTGAGGTTTCTTGTTGATTATGACTTGCTCGATACATAAACATGCCAATGATAAAAACTATAATCGATCCAAAGATGTATAAATTTTTAATTGGATAATTAACAAGTGTCAAATATTGACATGGTAAACACCTTATTTGAAGAGAACAAAAAAAAACCAAATTTATGACGTTTGAAGATTATATATGAAATATACCACAGAAAAGGAAACCAACAAAGAGAACCAAAAATACGTATAAATCCAATTGTTTCTTTTTTTCTGTTATCATTCATACGATGATCTTCTTCATACCAAATTAATTGTAAAGCATGTAGAATTTGTTGAACAACAATTAACATACAAGCAGGTAATCGACGATATGTATATAATTCCATTGTTTTAAGAAAAAAACAAAGATTTAAACAAGCCCATCCAATTAAACCTACTCGTAATTCAAAGAATAATTTTAAATTACTACCAGCAATAGTTAGATCAATATCAGTGCCATAGAAAAATGCTATTATCGGATTAATTTGTTTTGAATGACGAATTCCAGTGCCTTTCATATATAATAGAAGACTAATAAAACCAGAAACAATCATTGAAGCCAGAAGTATCTTATGGATATTATCATAGACATAAGATGCACGAATAATATTCAACCAATTTAATAAATAAATTCCACTGAGAGAAAAAACAAAAGCTACTATTCCATTACGACGATAAGAAGATATCGTATCTGATGGCTGATAAAATTTATTTCTAATTGGTATGAAGAAAATTGACTGAAAAAAGAAAATATTTTAATAAATAAATAACAAAGAAAAACAAACTCATCATTTATATGCTAACTTGAATGAGTAACCATCCAAGTACAATAGCCAAACAATCTAAATCGAATACTATCATACTATAAATATGTTGAAAAGATTCAACAACAGTACGTCTTGGTGTACAAGCAATATTAAAGAAAAATAATAAAATAGGAAGGAATATTGTAAGAATAAATGCCAATGAAGCAGAACGTCGACGTAAATTTTTATAGACTTGATTATCAGTTATATAATCCTCTAAATCATCAACAATTTCATCATTTATCATAGTCATATCACCTTTGGACATTTTGTTTAAATATAATATATGAGATGAAGTTATTTTGAGAAAAAGATTTGTTTTTCTACTAGAATATCAATACAATATTTTGGCGCTTTATTAGTTTCTTAGTTTGAAATCTTGTTTCATTCAAAGAAATGATTAATTCATTTTTGTTTTAATTGATCTATATCAGTTAATCAATAAGCACAACATAAAGTGGCATACATTATTTGATAAAATTTATTTTCAAGCTTTTTTTCGCTTTCGTAAGCGCTAGAAAGATTTCAAATAGTAATTCGAGTAGAGAAAAATGTTTCAAAAAAGAATATAAGCAAATCAAAATTATGATCAGATTTTCAAAGATAATATTCTCAGAAAAATAAAACCTTAGTTTTTCAGCATCTCGAACGCGTAAATATAATTTTTCTTAGACTTCATAGAACGATAGAATAAACTGTTCTCGACAAAATGAGACGTCTCAGAGTTTTCTGCGATGTTTTTTAGCTGGGATATAGTAATTTTATTGAAGGTCAAAAAAAATAGCTTTTCTATAGAAAATAGCAATCAAACGGCTCTAGGGACTTCCGTAAAATTGCTGTATCTCAACTAAAAAAACATTGCAGAAAAGTCAGAAACGTCTCATTTTGTAGAGAATTGTTTTCTTTATTGTTCTATATAATCTAAAAAAAAATTCTATTTACGCGTTCTAGGTGTTGAAAAACTAGGGTTTTGTTTTCCAGGGGTTCCATCTTTGAGAATTAGATAATCATTTTTATTTTCTTATATTTCTGTTGGAACCTATTTTCTCTATTTGAATCACTATTTGAACTCTTTCTAGTTCTTACAGCAATGGAAAACATTGAAAATAAACCTTGTTGAATAATTTTGGTATTCACTGTGTATATATATATATAAGAACGAGTTTACTATTCTAACATCAATATTTAAGCCTTTGTGACATAACATCTGTTGCATTGAGTCTAAAGTAAAGTTATCATAAAAATGTTGTTATTATAATGATTATGTATAATGATGGTTGTCTTATTGATATTGTGCAAAATTTAATGATATCTTAGCACATACATCAATACGAACACAATGTAATAATTAATATCTAATATTCAAAGTTTTTTCATAGTCTTGTATAAGATTGTAATATTTTGATAGTATGCTTAAAAATAATTGAGAACACGCAGAATATCGTAATTCAGTTGTTAATACTTTCGATGAGAATCTTGCGAACTGTTAACATCAATAACGCGTTTTCTTGAGAATAGTTACAGTTGAATTTATATAAGAATGTGCTTTGGTTTAATCGAATAGTAACTGTCTTACTTATTATTTAGTAGCTGCAGCAAATGCTTCATAAAAATATGATTCAAAGCAACAACTTTATTATTTGTTACATATACAAACCTTCATTGTCATCAATGAATAGAAATTTCAATAGTTCTGTAATGTGTTACAGTATTTTGAATAGTATATAAAGAGAATTTAAATGATTAAAGAGCAATGGGCGATGGATTTCAATTAAATTTAATTCGACTGAGA